TTTGTTTAATGCGAAAATACATAAGATATAAGATTGGTATCAGTTGCTGACTGGTTCGTAGAGTAGTCAGAGAGTAAGGATGGGGTTGTATTTCGTTCAAAGTGGTTACTTGTGGCATTCGTAATTCTGTCTGAGCGTCCCAATCATGCAATTTGAATGCATTGACAGCAGGAAGTGCGCGACTCTCCTCTAGCTCCCATGTCGACCTTTTACACCCTTCGAAATTTTCTTAATTTCAAAATGCTAACACTCAAAGACGTTTTAAGAGGTGAATTCATTGATAATTGATTATTTGTGACTAACTCAGGTTTTAGACCACCTTGATAGATTGTATTACCAGTTTTATTGCTATTTTTTAGCTTTCATACTCATAGCCCTGAATTCTTTTATCTTAATAGTTACTAATAAATACTTCAGGTAAAATGTTAGAGGGGTTGCAAATGGATCAAGAAATCTTGTTGGATGCAGGGGCACAGCTGCACCGGTTGAAGATGTTTCCATACTTCGACGTTGCCCACTACATTCTTGTAAGTGCACATTACTAGCATTTCCTTACTTTTCATCTGTGGCTGCACGAATTTTTCTACCAGTAACATTTTGATTTAATTTTTATGGTGGTACAATTTTCTATTTCGATTTTCATTTTTTGATGTGAAAGTCGATATCTAAATTTTTAAATCTTCCTCCTAGCATTAGGTTATTGGCAGCTAAGTAAAGATAGGTGCAAACTCCCCACTGGGATTTTTGCAGATGATCTGTGAGGTGCGTGACGATCTTGCCTCTTCTGCTAGTCTCTTCTCTCGTAAACATCCACTATCGTGTTGGTTATCTTCAATGTTAATGTGCTTCGCTGATTCCTTTCTGGCAAATTTCTTACTCGGTGAACCTGTGATTGCTCCATTCAAGCGACATGATGACATTCTTTTGGTGAGACACTTTTTCCAAATCATTCTCCTCTCTTATGTACAAGTTTTTTTTTCTATAGGCAACAATTGTGTGGTATTTGGTCTTCTATGCACCGTTTGATGGAATCTACAAACTTTCCAAAATAATGCCCATCAAATGTGTGCTATCAGTGATGAAAGAGGTGAAACGTGCTTTCAAGGTTAGTTGCTTCTCATATATTTTTTTTCCAGAGTTGAGCCACATCATGTGTTTCGTTTTAAAAATATAGGGTATAAATATGAATGTAAATTGCTGGTACGTTATGAAGAAAATAAGCTGCTAGTTAGAGCGGCCCACGAATAAGTCAAACAGTAGTATATAAACATGATAATGTCGATGATGAACTGTGATGAATGGCTAA